TTTTGAGTATGTTAGCAATATCTGTTCCTGCAGGCGTATGTGGCTGTCACTATTGGAAGTCGCCTGGCTACTCTGAATCACCCTGCGCCCCACCCAGCCCTGCACTGCTGCGGAATTGCGTTTACTACTCCCAGATTCACTGGCAAACTCGCCCTCATCTTTTCCATGGGTTGGTTGGGCAAACCGGGCTAAAGCTGTGCTCCGGGGGTGGCTGGGGAGAGCCCCCGGCTTCGGGAGCCCCGGAGCCGGGGTGCAGCCGGGGGGCCGGGGCAGAGCTGCCTCCCTTCAACCCTGCTCGAGCCTGGGATGCTGGAAGGAAAAGCCATCTAGGAAAAAAAAGAATACACTTTTGGCTTGAAATAAGCTCCTGATTTGAAGTAGCGGAGGTTTTCTGGCACTTGTGTTTTAGCAATAGTTTTGTTTGTTTAATCTAGGCACTAATAGGAAACACGTAAACAGAGCTGATCGGTTATGGTAGCTTCTGTCAGTAATGACAAAATTGAAGTATTTTGGGTAAAACAGGCTTTCCCCGCGTCCTGAGGCACGCAGCAGCCTGCTCGGATGCACCGAGCTCCGCTCACCCACCCCTCGGAGCCGAGCGAGACAGAAATACGTGGGCACAGTCAGAAGCTGCTGAGGATGTTGCACCAGCTTCTGCCTGATAAGATCTCTTGAAGAAGAACTTAAAAAAAAAAAAAAGTGATAACATTGCTCAAAACTGCCATAGCTTCAATCTACTGAAGAAAACACGCAGCAGAAATCAAGCTTACCTTCCTGTGACTCCCATCCTTCGGGGGGGTGACATCCATGCTAGAGAGCAGGAGGAGCGAGCTTTCTGCTTTTATTTCCTACAGGTTTTCGCAGCAATCCCAGCCCCAGCGACTCCCCGTTAAACTTCCACATGTTTTCGGAGCGCTGGAATCCTGCCGGCATCTGCAGCCCAGTACAGTGGCTGCAGAACAGGAAATCCTGTATTTTGTTTCTCTTCACCACACAAACCGTGTACAGCTAATGACGTTAAAACAACTGGGAAGGCGATGACGTCATTTGATCCAACTGCCGTGCGATAGAGACCTCGGACGCGGATTTCTTTCCTTCTTTTTGCACAGAAGTTGTGTTAGGTGATGGTGTCCTTCGGTCGAGCTGCTTCTGCTTTTGTCCACAGTCACTTGCCGTTTGCTTGCTAAAAACTATAAAATACAGAAGCAAAAATCTTCCAGTAAGTGCTCGCTGAAGGAAAACTGAAACCTGTGCCAGTGTAAGTTACTGGAAGGTAGTAATTTTCCTTCATTTTCTTGGAAGTTTGGTTAGCCTCAGACTATCAAGGCTATAGGCTAAAGCTAGGGGTTTGGACTTTATTTCTGAAATAATATGATGGTTTAAGGTGGAGATTTTCCCAAAATACTATTGTTTAAAAAAACCCATAATGTGCATCATTCCCAATTTCTTTTTTTTCTTTTTGCCTCCTTTAAT